GCGACGCGAAGGAAAAAGAAAGGGCTGATGAACGGGTTGTTCGTTTGTACCTTTTTCGGCATTTCGCGTCAAAATTCAGTAAACGTGGATCTTATTTTCATAGGTGCTACCTTATTTAAATTGTAGTTAACCCGCGCCCGGCTGGGGGTCCTGGATTTCCACGCCCTGCTGGGGGGGGGGGGGGGTGTTTGAACACCCCCCCTTGTAACTCGGCTCCTGGGCCACGTAGCGATACGCGGAAGGCGGCGTTCGAAAGAGCGTCAAAAATAATGACGAAATCACTTCAGTCAATTTTTTGGTCAGGTCAAAGGTCAGGTCACCAGAGGTCATTGAAGGCAAAATTTCGCCGATTTCCAGGTCGAATGTCGAAAATTTCTAAAAAGCCAACGCATAACTCGGGAACCAATAGAGCTACAGCGCCGCGGAAAAGCGCATTCGATAGCCCTATTAACGCCCTTTCTGAGTAATTCTCTCAGATTTGATCTACCGTCAACGGTTTTGCCTGCAGGGGGCAAAAACGGCAAAAATAGCCGATTTTTTCGGAAACCGTTTTTCTGCAACAACTTTTGACCCAAGCCTTGTACGAGCTTACTTTTACCAGCATCGTGTTCCTCTCGTCAAGACGCATCGAATGAACTATAACTTGACCTTGAAAGGTCAACTTGAAAATTTGACCTCAGGTCAAGGTCATGACCTGGCCGGAAAGGGTCATGTTGCATATCAGTCGATCCGTATCGTCTAGCTGAACACAACTAAGGCGTTTTCATCGCTCTAGCATGCCTCTATCAAAAGTTATTTGCGAAAAACTGTTAGATACCATTCGTGACCTAAGATGACCTCAGGGCATAAACAAGGGTCACGGACACCATTTTCATGTTCAGTGTGTCTAAACCACTTGTAATTCGGTGTTTGGGAGAGTTTATAATGCCTTTCGTCCAAAAGAGGCGCATTTCAATTTTCTCCCATTGACTTATAATGGGGAGGTCGCAAAATTGACCTGACCTTAGGTCATCGATATCAAAATTCTGAGATATACATTTTGTACATGCTATTGCTCTTAGCAATCGCTGAAAGTTTCAAAGCGATCGGTCACTCGGTGTAGCTATGACAGACATTGAAACTTTTTATGAGGTGAGGTCACTTCAAGTGACCTGGTGACCTGACCTTGAATGACCTTGGTCTGAAATTTTCACAACATGTGTAGAATCGATGTATGATAAGGTGTACCAAAAACGGCGGCGCTCCGCGCCGCCGTTTTTGAGATATTCGCGAAAAACCACAAGGGGGGGTGTTCAAACACCCCCCCCCCCCAGCAGGGCGCGGGTTAAAATGAGCGGCGCTAGTCTATGGTGTATGTACCTACCTACTATGTGAGCATTCCTAAATAAGTTCCAGGTAGTTCCACCTATGAAACTTAACCATTTAAAATCACCCTGTGTTTGACACCATCCCATGTCTAATGCAGCTTGACATGTCAGGCGATTTCCTTGGAAACCTGACTTCTCTCGTGACGTTAAACAGGCGCTTGACGGAAAATTTATTAATATCTTGATTTCATATGGGCTCGCCGTTCAGTCGAAATCCATATAGGTACACTTTAGACATATGTCTTGCATATAAGGAGGATCTGATTTGAAACTATGAAATGGACTGTCTTGAAATATTACGGTCTGATTTGTATGTTTGTATGTTTGTATTGAAATATTACTGTATTACTGTCTGAGAAACTGCACGATTGAGAAAGGGAGCATATGCTAAACCGAGCAAGGGAAAAGGGACGTCTTCGGCTTTTGAACTCTCAATCTGTCAATGTTAACCCGCGCGGGGCTGGGGGGGGGGTAAATTTTACCCCCCCCTCGCGAATTTTCGCGATATCTCAAAAACGGCGGCGCGCAGCGCCGCCAAACTTTCATTACCTTTTCTTACATCAATTTGACACGTTCCCTGAAAATTTGAGCGAAATCCGTCGGAAAATTTTTGAGAAATTGACGTTTTAGTGACGTCATGTTCGCCATTTTCGCCTCAAAAACGGCAAAAGTTCAAACGCCGCTAACACCTTCATTTTTAAAGGAATCAAGACGTAACAAAAAAGGTTATACGTAATTTTACTTTGTCTATCAAATGGCTATCTCGGTTTTTTGAAAATTTTGGATTTTGGCCTAAATTTTTTTTTCAAAAAACTGATTTTTTGGGGAAAATCATGATAAAATCCAAAATTTTGAGTCTATCAAAAAAACCGGAATATATGTCAGAGAAGTGGTCTATGTGCACCTACATACCAAATTTTAGAAGAATCGGTTCAAAAATGTGGGAGTTATTCAAAATTTTATGACGTCACGACACACAAAATTTTTGAAAAATGACTTTTTTGGAAGTTCTAGACCTCGTACGGAAACAAAAATAGCACCATTCGATTCACCGTGAAAAACTGCATCAGATAGACACCTTTTTAGGCCTTAACAACCAACTTCAAAATTTGACCTCACTTGACCTGACCTTGACCTGACCTCGACCTGAAATTCATCCAGAGGTGGTCCATATCACTTATTGAGTGTGCCTATTGAATTCTATGAGTAAAATGACCCATAAAACATGTGTCGCACATGCCCTTTTCTATATTTTGTTTTTTGGTGACCTGACCTGACCTGACCTGACCTTGACCTTGACCTCTGAATGATATTGTATGCACCGAATATTGTCTTGGTAGCCTAAGAACACGTTTTGGGCGATCAGTCTCAGTCCATGACTCCATTCTTCGGCAACTACGGTGCAAGGCCGATACTGTAGAAACTTGCAATTTGTACCCTTGACCTGACCTTGACCTTGACCTCAAACTTTAAATTCAGTACATGTTTTTAGTAGTTCGTGATGAGAGCTTTCGATTGGCGTTTGAATTTTCCAAATCGGACCATTAGTTCGGGAGATAACAGGGGGGGTAAAATTTACCCCCCCCCCCAGCCCCGCGCGTTCGGCTGGAGACCCCAGCCCCGCGCGGGTTAAGTCTCGAGAGACCCAGTGACTGTCACATAATCTGCTGATGAATACTGAAATTAACCTGCGCCCCACTGGGGTCTGCGTATAACACGCCCTACTGAGGGGGGGGGGCTATTCATAGCCCCCCCCCCCTCCTAACTCCGAAACTACTGGGCCGATCGTCAAAATTCAAACGGCGTCTGATAGCCCCGGAAAAACTGTCGAGCGAAACCTAATTTCATTGACCTCGAGGTCACTGATGACGTCACAGGTCAGGTCAAAGTAAAAATTATTAGCATTTTGGCTTCTTCACGTTTTGGGCTCTGGCCGCCGTCTTACAAGTCAGATCAGGCTCATTTTTGGTTCGCACACTCGTGAACAGATGCTCTAGATACTCTGAGGGTACCAAACTTGTACTTTGATTTTCAGGTCAAGGTCAGGTCATCACAGGTCACGAAAATATTATATCATCCGTCGGTCACGTGACACATGTTTTATGGTCCATTTAGGTCAGAGATTTCGAATTTGATGTCGTCTGTGTCATTCGAGGTCATTTTGAGTCAAATGTAGCTCAGGTCAGGTCACTTTCAGGTCAAAAAAGGTCAAATTTTGAAGCTAAAATTTTTCAACACAAAAGGTGTCTATTGGATGCAGTTTGAGCTCAGGAGCACGATGTTGCTATTTATATTGGCGTACGATGTCAAATTCATGCTGAAAAATTGATTTGAAAAATTAATAATTGTTAATTTTTTGCAATAATGCGTATAACTTGGCCATTTTTGAAGATATTTAGCTAAAACTTGCTAGAGTTAGTCATAATAATGTGTTCTATCACATATATTTCGTTTTTTTGAAAAGTCATTTTTTAAAGAAAAAATATAAATATAAAGTTCGAATTTTATTATATAGCTATAACTTTCAAATTTTCAAAATTTTGAAAATCTGAGATAGCAGTTTGATAGCGCAGTCTATTCTGAGTCCTCTCATGCAAAGAAATTGGATCTAGCTTAAAAACTGAGCTCTTGGGAGCGATTGCCGTGGTTCAATGTTTTGCGTCGAAATCGGCCGAACATGACGTCATTCTGACGTCATTTCCGGCCGACCTATGGTAGGTACGAAGTTCAAATTTTGACATGTAAGGTGTCAAATTGATGCAGCCAAAGGTACTGAAAGTTTGGCGTCGATACGTCAAGCGGTTTGGAAGTTATTGCAGAAAAACGGGAGGGGGGCTATAAATAGCCCCCCCCCCCGCCCCAGTGGGGCGCGGGTTAATATTCCATCCCGTACTGGCGGTTGCTATGCCAGCATTTCCTAGCCACGCTGTCCTCCCGTCTGCCCCCCCCCCCCCCTCTCCCGCGGCGCCCACCGGCTGACCGTGGCACCAGTGACCCACAAGGCCCCCGGCACCGGGCTGCCGATGGCCTTGAGCTTTGACAGCGATCAGCTGTTCACGCCATGCCGTGGGCAGGGGAGGGAGGGGGGGGAGGGCGGTATCTGGACCACGTTACTCCGGCCGGGGGCGGGGCGGTCAGTTGGATTGCAGTCATTGAGGAGGGTGCGCGGTGGTTTTCCGTTCCCGAATCGCGAGGCGGGGCGCAGTGAGGTGAATTCTGGCGAGGTGAAGGTGACGAATTAGTCTGTGGTGGAAAGTGAAAACTGACCGGTGGAGGGAAGCCAGCTGGCACGTGGTTCCTCGTTATCGGTAGCCCGGGGCTAAAGATGGAGGATTGCGCCAGACATCGAGCACAGTTTTTGTTGGCTGCTTGAAGTTACAAGTCGATAGTTGTTTCAGGAGTGTGAGATAACGGTAAAAAGCATCGCCGTCAAGCGGTTTGTGGTGTGCCATTTGATTGTGTGACCCGGTTCGATCGTACCATGCCATGTCTGATTGTAAATCTGTTCCCAGTATCATAAAGACATCACAAGTGTTTTCATTCATTGCTTTCGCATCAAGTTTACCTGAAGTTCGTCTTTGCGGTAATTCTTAGAGCGCATCTGACGGCTTCTCCTCTGCCCGTGCCCCGCAGCTGGAGCCTCCCGGTGCCGACCAGGACACGATGACAATGGATGACCTGCTGAACTCCTGCGGCGTCAGCTGCGACGCCTCTGTCGACAGCCCGCTGCTCTCCTCTCTGGACCTGATGTGGGGCGCCAGCCCGACCCCGGCGCTGACAGCGGCCACGACGGCGGCGCCCACCCCGTCTCCGGCTCCGGCACACACCCCCTCCTCGGCGCCCAGGACCCCGGAGCCCTCGGCGGCACCGGCGGGGATGAGGTCCCAGGGCCAGGAGAAGTCGGCAGGGGACCGGCCGGCGCCGCCCACTCCGGAGCAGCAGCTGCAGGCCGAGGTGCAGCGGCTGCACCGGCAGCAGCGGCAGGAGGAGGCCACCAAGCAGCTGCTGGAGCGGCAGCTGCAGCAGCTGCAGAAGCAGCAGCTGATCCAGCAGCGGCAGGACCAGCAGCAGCAGCAGCTGCTTATCAAACAGCAGAAGCAGGCGCAGCGGCAGCAGCAGCGGCAAAAGCAGCACCTGCACTGGCAGCAGCATCAGCTGCAGCAGCGGCAGACGAAGCAGCAACAGCAACAACAGCAGCGCGCGCAGCAGCAGCACCGGCTTCGGCTGGATGATAGCAGGTGAGACCCAGTCAATGTCAATACCCGAAAGAGCCGAAAGAGCGCTGCTTTCACAGCGCTGCTTATACTAATAACAAGCGACAGCTCTGCGCACACATCTATTAATCTAATCCACTATTTTCTTCCTCTTGATCCCGCCTCCGTCACGGCTGATTCCGCTGCTATCCGAGTATTCAGCCGCCCGCCAGCGCCCATCTCCGCGGTATGCAGCGCGGCGGCGCTGTTAGGGTGATGGATGCGACCTCCAGTGCCCCATGTATCGCGTATGTCGTGTTGGCCGGGTCACGTTCTTCCTCCCGTGGGCTTCCCTCGGAGATCGCCTTGAGTTATACCTTCCGGGAGTGACTGGGTTAGTTTCCTCCTCTGTAAGACGCAGCTCGGACCGGGGGCGGGGCTCGCAGGGTCCCTCACCGCCAGGAAGCCGCTACCGAGAGTGATTTATGCCCCCGGACCGGCATCGCCCGCAGTGGTGGATTTATGGATATGAGGTTCTTCGGTTGGGTCGGTAGTTTTCAGAACAAAGTATCCAAGCGGTAGTTTCGATCACTATGAATATATTATTAAAATAACGAGCTCCGGATAGGAGATCGTGCATTCAACTCTGCTTATTCCTTGTTCATGTGAAATGGTCAGATGCTGCAGCAATTATACAAACAATTATGCATATGAATCGAAGTTTTCTTTCGTTAACTTGAACAGCTACTACCATCATTCATCACTTATGAGTGTGTAATGTTCAATATTCAATGCTGATACAAATATAGGACGATATAACGGGATGGCGATTGAGGATTAGTGGTATCCGCCAGTAGCGACGGAACACCGTCAATTAAGGGGGGGGGGACACTGCCGACTTTTGGTCCCATTCTTTCCATGCAACGCCCATAGGGCTAATGTTAAAATGCAAAAATCAAAGGTGGGCACGGTGCCCCGGTGCCCTCCCCGTTCCGCCGCCTATGGTATCCGCAACCTAAGTCTTTTTGTTGCAATGTCGAACCAGTACTTTTCCACTCCACGTTTCGCCATCACCACTAGCCCTAACCGCGCCACTCGTCCCCTCCACCGCAGTGCAAAGTCTTCAGCATCAACATCATCGTCGACAGCGTCGAGCCACCAGCGCGGTCCGGCCAAGGTGCGTCGGAAGACGCGTGTCATCACGATCCCCAGCTCAGCCGGGCCTACGACGGTGACTGTCCCGCACATCGTCATCTGTACGCCGAGCATCATCAACTCTCGACCGTCGGCCACATCACTGCCGGTTACCTTCTCTGTGCAGGGTGAGTTGAGATGGGGTGCTGGAGGTTAGAGATGTCGATGTTTGTGTATGGGGTGGGGGGGGGGAATGGTTGCTCGTGCTGTCGCGTTGTGTGTGAAACATATCGACACCTTTTTTAAACCCCACATCTGTTCTCCGGTGAATTTTCCGGGAAGCACGAAAGATCTCTTTTTAGAAGTGTCCAATCGTCCTATCCTGATCAAATTTGTGTGTTCGTAAGCTTGCTCTGGCATTGCTTGATCTGCCAAGACAGACAAACTTGAGAAAAATCGAGTGACTGTACCTTTTTTGAAGGTTTCTAAACAACTTGTCTGGGCTTCACGGGAGAACAAATGTGGGGTTAAAAAAAGGTGTCGATATGAGGGCGCAGTGCTGGTTTTACCATAGTGATTCGGTTGAGAAGTGAGAACGCCATGCCTTGAAAGTGTCAGATGAATCATATGGCTGTCATCAGGTATGTAATATTTTGGCCATGTTTTCTAGCAACATGATACTAAGAAATCCTGTTGGTGACTACCTGTCGTCGCTTGAGTTCCGTGGCAAAACGCCTTTGATGCAGCTCTCGAGAAAGAACATATGATTTAGCATTCTGAACATAACAGGGCTTCCACTATGTTACAATGAATCATTCCATGCGGCAGTCCACTCGAATAGGACATACTTCTTTCTTATATCGGGGCATATATTGAGAGATAATTACTTGATCGTTTCGATAACGTGTTCTTTAGAATGATCATTTTGACCATCGATTTGTCCAACAGAACATCAGGGCATTGTTGTTCCGCTGTTACCGGGATCACACCCCACTTGTCACTATCAGTCCTTGACGTTTAAACTCTACCGCTCCTGAGCAGCCAGTGGAATGAGGAAAGCAAACATTGCGTCAGACTATTGATGGCTATATCATATCGGTTTGATTGTGGCCGGACCACCAGCCAAAGTACACTCAGCATGAAACCGCTAAACGGTTAACGGCTTACGTAAGTTTACGCTACTTGCTCCACTGTCGTTCGTTGCTAAGTATTTCCGCGTTTCTAATGCAACGAGACCAAAAGCCTTCGCGCTTCGGCCAAACTTTTCCCGTCAGTCTACCTTAATGACAGTACCTATAGCCGACGAGTGTTTCGACAGAAAGTTTGTGGTAACATTATTGTAGTAGTCAGACCGGCAAATTGAGCGCGTTGACTTAGTTGACTTAACACTGTAACCAAATGGAAGCGAGCTGCGCAATACGCAAGGCAAACATTCAACACAGTAGGACCTTCTATCTTCCAAGGTGATCAATCACTCAAATAGGACTTCTGCCTTTCGTATCTTACTCTGTTTCGCTTTAGGTTTTATTGTCCTTCGCCGTCTGATACCCGTATGGATCCCGATAATTTTTCATCCTGGAGGCCACATCTCCCTGTGGCGCAGGGCGCTCCATTCATGGCACCTTTCAAGTGACAGCCTGGTCGCCTGTGCCATTTAGCGCTCGTCTCCGCTGTGTGGCCGGCTGACGTTAATGACATTAGCTGTCGAGGGAGCCGTTGAGGGGGCCGTTCTGAGTCCCTAATGAACGATGAGCAGAATAGGCCGGTAAGCTGCGGCCGCCGCCGCCGCCGCCTGATAAGACGCCCTTGATGCGTTTGTCACTTTGAACCGCCTCTTTTTATCCGAGGTTCAAGGCTCCACTCGAGCCTGAATTTCAGGATGTGTGGAGTTACGCGTTGGCTATTTATGCTTGTCGGCCCAGACCCCAGAATGCATATTTGTCTCTCAAAATTCATTAACACATGGCTCAAGGCAAGCGTTTACGCTCTCTGCATCATCAACCCTGCCTTACATCGCATTTGGTACTCAAGTGCCCATGAACTTCCACGTGCGTTTGCCGTATGGTGTGACGTGTGTCCTCTCGAGATGCGTTCAGTCATGACCGTCGGGCCGCCGAGTCGGCCGCACAGATACACCCTCATGGGAGGGAAGACGGCCAGGAGTCATACTGTTTATACGTGATGGAAACGCTTCGAGCCCATGCTGGCCGGCGCATTAATTTACAGTTAGGCGTGAATGTGGGCCTCGGATGATAGTTTCATTTTGACGCAGATGTGAAATATGGCGGGCGAAATTGAAGATCTGTCGAGGTGGACTGTTGCATAGCGCACTGCACATACAATGGTGATGAGTTTCTCGTGGGAACGCTATAACATACGAAAAGTTAAACATTATATTTGCTACTGAACTGCTTGTGCACATCTGCCAGTAATGGCAAGAACTAATGTTCTAAGTTTTATTCACCAGTTTATGAATAACTAAGCCCGGGGTTTTAATTGCAATTGGCAATGCATCACTCTTATTGCTGACGTGCGAACAAAATGTCAGCACGAAATGTCAGAAAATCATCATTTAAGACTGAATCATGGGCCTCGTATGACGATAGTTTGAATCGTTAAATTTATTTATCTAGCAAACAAGAACAGAAGGGAGAAGGGGAATAGATTTATCGCTTCACATGCGCTTGCAATACAAGCCCAAAAACTGGGGTAATTTACGGACTCGCTTTATGAAACGAAGCCATGGATTCATTCGACTAATGCATCATATGCCAACTTGCCAACTAATCGGCTCATATGCCGAGTACTAGCCAAACTTACAGCGGTGAGGTAGCAACCACTTTTAGCATTTGGTTTTCAAGTAGCCAAAACTTGCGATTCTTTGCTGACGATAAGGTATAGAATTGTTCGTTACATGCTGCCCATTTGCGGCTACAAGGTTTGTAGCATGCGATCCAATCCAATCAACGTTCCTTTCCTGCGGTGCTGACTGTCACTTGCCACTAGACGATTCACGCTTGAGTAAAATTTATGTCCACTAGGCACGCCCTAATGTGTCGGGAATGCTGGTCGAATATGCGCTGTTGCTCATGTTAGCATTCTGACACGGTTTTAGTGTGACCCTATAAAATGCCTGAGCGGCGGCTGGCACGACATCGCCGAAGCTGGGCGCCGACCGAGTTAGCTTCTGGTTAATTTCTCAAATGATTCGGACCGGGAAGGCCCGCCTTCCAGGCAGCGTTGCTGCTCGAGGACTATTAGAGAGTGTTGGACTGCTCCAATTGTCACCAATCTCCCGCTCAGTGTAGTCAACAGCCTGCCAGATGGCTGGACTTCTCAGACACATCTGACTCGAGTGCCAAAGTGGCTGCGTTGGTAGAACATTGGACGCGACCAGCCTTTCTGCGGTTCTGCAAAGCCGACCGGAACCTATTTCTAAAATGAGCGCCGCACAATCTCCCAGCTACACGGAGCGTAATAGACACGCTGCATCTGAATGCAAATGTGGTCATCGTCCACGGTCCAGCCGAGAGTCGGCGGCTCTAACTGGCTGCAGGCGACGAACAGACGCTCGTCGTGAGAGCACGGCAGCAGGTTTATGTAGCTGTTCAAGGAAGACGGGCCTGCGGGCACTGGTCCTCGAGGTTCCCCTGAGGTTGTGTGGCGCAGGGCATGGTGTGAGGAAGAAGGGGAGATATAGAGGGAGGGTGAGAGAGAGAGAGAGAGAGAGAGAGAGAGAGAGAGAGAGAGAGAGAGAGAGAGAGAGAGAGGGGGGGAGAATAAAGAGGAGAAAGAAACGGTTTAAGTAGAGGAAGAATTGAGAAAGAGGTCCAAAAATAATAAGTTTATTCATTGAGTTATTGAATGAGTATGTTGTTGGGGGGGGGGGGGGGGTTAGTAGAGTAATGCAACAGTGTAGGTTTATTTTTAGTGTGTGTCCGCCGTAGCCTAGTTTTGTCTTCAATAACAGCATGGTTCATGGACATAAATTTCCCCGAGGCGTCCGCCATATGACTCTCGCTCCGGGTAGTGGTGGCTCGGCGACCCTTGACGTCAGTCGGCCGCCACATAGACCGCATTACGGGCCCACATTGTCGAGCCACATGCCTGCGGTGTCATTTGCTGCGCCGGAGAAAGTTCGCTGCGGCGAGATAGGCTCTTTTGTTCAATCGCAAGGCGCGAAATGAAATATGGCAGCATCAGAACTCGGTGTTGGTGTTATTGGTGCAACGCGCGATACTCAACACTCCGAATAGCTCCAGCATTTCTTCTTGGTTTCTCCCCAGGCTGGCTTCACCCTACCCCGTATCGCACTTCACCTGCGCGTCATACAGCCCGCGCTCAGGATGGTAGCCCCGCACGATGTAATAGCATGCAGGACAGCGCTTGGAGCGTCATGTCGGCAGTGTCGGTCTTGTCGGATCAGAGTGATTACATCAACCGGTGGCATGGTAGCGGCTACCGTTTGGATGTAAGTGGCGGTTGAGTGGCGGTTGAGTTGTTGGTGGATATTCGGTGAACTCGAAACTTGTTTTAGGGTCATGAGAGCCTTTTGGCAGCATTTGCGGATGGTCCGTGCCGGTAGTTCGGTAGTCTGAAGTGGTATGTGAAGTTTCATTGTTTTGTTTGCATCAGTGTTATATTTCCTGTATTTGAAATGTGTTGGTGGTTGCAATGTCCGAGGCGGTGTGGTTCCTACGCGGTCACGAATTTCGCATTAGCACCGCTGTCATTTCCGGGCTTATGGGGGAGCTCTCCGAGGGAGACCGCCACTCCCAAGAGCGTCCGTTCTCGGGAACGTCAGCAGGAGGTGACGGACGCCATCGATGCTTTGGAGATCCACCGCTGTCGCTGACTTGGGCGTCATCGACTCCCCATTGCCATTCGACAGGGTCGGCCCAAGGCTGTCCGGAGTGGAAAACTCGCGCTACTCGGCAGGGATTTACGATTCGGCGATAAAGTATCGGTATCAGGAATTGCACACGCTCACTGAGCGCCTGTGCACGGCGCCATGCGGGCGTGGTTTGGGCGTGCACTTTGACTATCTCCCCCGTCCCACATACACGTAACAGGGCACATGGGCCTATATAATCACATTGGATACAACAGACATCAAGCAAACGAGGTTTAAAGCGAGGAAACTGTGTGCTGTTTGTCAATGTACCGGATATTGAATTCAGTAACAGCG